TGCCCACTGCCACCCTCTAGACAAAATTCTGGAGGCCAGTGTTTGGTGATAAAGGAAAAGGAGTCTTTACGCAAAAGCTACAGTTTTTGAATAACAGCTTTCCAAACGAGTTAGTCACTTAAACCAATCAAGGCTAAAATCTTTAACTGTTCAGTTACAGCTTTAATCACTTAAGCCCTTCAATTAGGTGAAATTTTTTTTTATTTTTATTTTATTGATTATGCCATTACAATTGTTCTATTCCCCCCTTCATTCCCCTCCACCCTGCACCTCCCCACCCCCACCATTCCCCCCCTTTAGTTTATGACCATGTGTCTCAAATTCTTTAGACTTTATATTTCCCATACTATTCTTGCCCTCCCCCTATTTTCTACCTACCATCTATGCTACTTATTTTCTGTACCTTCTCCCCCCTTCTCCTCCTCCCACTCCCTGTTGCTAACCCTCCATGAGATCTTCATTTCTATGTTTCCACTCCTGACCTAGCTGTCCTTTTAGTTTGCTTTTGTTTTAGATGTAGTTGTTAATAACTGTGAGTTTGCTGTCCTTTCACTGTTCATATTTTTTATCTTCTTTTTCTTAGATAACTTTCTTTAACATTTCATATAATAAGGTGATGATGGTGATGATGAACTCTTTGAATTTGATCTTATCTGAGAAGCACTTTATCTGTCCTTCCATTCTAAATGAAAGTTTTGCTGGATAGAGTAATCTTGGATGTAGGTCTTTGGATTTCATGACTTGGAATAACTCTTTCCAGCCCCTTCTTGCCTATAAGGTCTCTTTTGAGAAATCCACTGACAGTCTGATGGGAACTCCTTTGCAGGTGACTGTCCCCTTATCTCTTGCTGCTTCTAGGATTCTCTCCTTCATTTTAATCTTGGCTAATGTAATTATGATGTGCCTTGGTGTGTTCCTTCTTGGGTCCAACTTCTTTGGTACTCTCTGAGCTTCCTGGATTTCCTGGAAGTCTATTGCCTTTGCCAGATTGGGGAAATTCTCATTTATTATTTGTTCAAATTAGTTTTCCACTGGTGGCTGTTCCTTTCCCCCTTCTGGTACCCCTATAATTTGGATGTTGGAGTGTTTAAAGATGTCCTGGAGGTTCCTTAAGTCTTTCCTCATGTTTTTGAATTCTTGTTTCTTTATATTTTCCTGTTTGGTCATTTTTTCCTTCCTTCTGGTTCGCTCCCTTGATTTGAGCCCCAGTTTCCTTTTCATCACTATTAGTTTTCTGTGCAATTCCCTTCATTTCAATTAGTTTAGCCTTCATATGTTCCTCTAATTTGTGACTAAAATCAACCAGTTCTGTGAGCATCCTGATCACCAGTGTTTTGAACTGTGCATCTGAAAGTTTTCCTATTTCTTGTTCACTTAGAGTTATGGGCTCTGGGGCTTTGAGATCTTCTTGAGCCATTTTTGGTCTTTTCGTGCCCATTAAGTATGAGGAGCAGAGCCTTAGGGGAGGAGCAGAGCCTTAGGGGCGGGGCGGGGCCACCAGGGTGGGGTTGCTGGGTTGTGACGCTGTATGTGGGAGCAGGGTCAGAGTGGGGAAATGGCGTTCCCCTCTCCTGCTTCCCGCTGCTGGGTGAGGAGCGGAACCTTAGGTGTTCACCAGGGCAGGGCCGCTCAGGTCTCTCAGTTGTGATGCTATATGTGGGGGCGAGGTCAGAGTGGGGAAATAGTGGCCCCACTCTGCTACCTCCCGCCACTGGGGCCTGCTTGGTCCCATCTCACTGCCCACTCCCTTGCCGGTCTATCTGCGCAGGAATGCACCACCACAGTCAACCCACTGCCCTGCGCCCTCACTGGCTCTGCCGGTCGCTCCCTGGGTCGCTCACTGGGTCCGCCCTTTGCAACCCCACACCTGGGTTCCGTGTGCGCCTGAGTCCGTCTGACCGAGTTTTCCTGTGCAACCCTGCTCCGCCAGCTGCTGGCTTCGCCCCTCTTACCGGTCAGGTTGAAGAATTCGTGGTTATCAGACTTCCTAAAAGTTCAATTTTCTGTGTGCTGGCTGTGTTTTCTGTTGCTAATATTTTGTTGTCTCTAAACTTGGTTGTGTGAGAAAGCACGGCATCTCCACCTATGCCTCCATCTTGGTGGAAGTCTAGGTGAAACTTTTTAACCCCTGAGTTCTCCTACCATTTCCCCCAGTTGTTTTTTAATGACCTTATTTCTGTAGGATTAGTTTACAAGCTAAAATGACATAAGATACAAAAACTACACAATTTTGGAAGAATGGCCAGCTTTGGCCTCAGAGCTTGTCCCCTCTAAAACACCCAAAGAATAATAAACTTGCCACCCTCTGCCAGGCTGGCTGGATCCAAGGTTGTGCCCAGAGTTCCTTACCATCCAAAATACTGCCTGTTGGGAAATACAGGCAGCAGCAGCGTGATCATCCAGACATCCTCAAGAAAAGAGAGCCTGAGAGAACCAACCCCTCCAAGAGTCCAAGTCCTTCTTTTACTTCAAATCTTCTCACCCATAATTCCATGTGCTCTGGAGGCATGCAGCTTCTCAACCAATCCCATCCTAGACTGTTTATCATTGCCTCAGGTAACCTTCTCCTATGGCCCCTCCCTACTTTCCCCAGTGATCTGATCAAATCTCTCTGTATCAAAACTGTTGAGTGGGTCAAGAAATCAATAGACTAGATCTCTAGCAACATTCAAAATGTAGTACAGAAAATATTAATATGATTTGCATATAATCTGATTTAAGATATTTTCCTGAAACATTCATGCATATATTTATAAACATATATGTATACTGGGTTGCAAGGTAAAACATATTTCTGGGTTGTGGTCCAATTAGCCTGAATAGCACTGATTTCAAAAATGAGCAGCACAGACTATAAGCTACATGCGAATGTCCTTTTTCTCATTACCTTAAATCCTGGCACATAGTAGTCTCTCAGTGAAGACATACTGCATGAAGGAATGAATCAATACCCCAGAGAAGTAAGAGAAAACCCAGAAAAAGGGTGACTTAGGACCTAAACATGCAGGAGAAACAAGAAACCATCCAGGGTCAGATGTCAGTGATTTGGCAATGTTCAGAGCACAGATGAGCTTGTTTGTACAATTGCTGTGTATTGGCACGAGTGGAAGCCAGACTGCAGATGTAAATGGGAGGCAAGGAAGTAGAGCTGAGACAAATGACAATGGAGATTGAGAGAAATCTGTTTTGTACTGAAGATGTGAAAGTTCAACATGTGTTGGGAAGAGATTATAGGAAAGGCATGCCCTAGAACTGTGCTGTCAAATGATGGAATCACTAGCTACCTGTGGCTGTTTAGATTAGAATTACATTAAAAGACAGTTCCTTAACAATACCACCTCCATTTCAAGTGCTCAATGGCTACACACCGCCAGTGACAACCACATTGTACAGATCTGACACCAAACATTTCCATCATTCCAGAAAGGTCCACTGGGGAGTGAGGCCTAGAAAAGAGCTTTCATTCACCACCTCTATGCAGGCCTCAAACAAGCAGTGCACAGCGGCCAACCTCCTCTTACTCGAAATTTCCAAACCTAGACATGATGGCTGGGCACTTGGTCTCCATGAGGGAAGGTCAATCCTGGGAGAGGCCAGTGCACACATCAAGGACGCTACTACTTCAGGACATGATTATGGCAGTCGGGGCATTACAGGTCTTCAGCACGTTTCCAACAAATGTAGCAAAGACCTATGACAACTAAAAGTCACGATTGCACAAGGAAAAGAGCTGTAGGACAAGAAACAAATGTGATGAATGTTGGGACAGTGGGGGGGATTTGGGCCAGGGAACACAGGTGGGTAAAATGCAGTCACTACAGTTTTACAAAATTAAAGTGATTGCTAGAAAAGAAATAAAAAAACTATTTGATTTGTATATGTAACTCTCATGGTTTTTGTAGGCACCTGAATAATAAAAAGGAGAATGACAGAACACTGAAGCGTTTATTATGAACGTCTGTCCACTTGAGACAGTCCCGCTGACCCACAGCGGTGAGCAGCATCACTCTTGGAAGTTAAAAAATAAAGTTTATAATTTTGTGGGAAAATCTCTTTGCACTCACTTTCAAAGGAATATTTGGCTCTGATTGTTAAAACATTTTTTTTTTCACGTGGAGACTAAGAAGTGAGGGAAGACGGAGGGGTCCTTGGTAACGCAGCCTTCAACACCGAGGGCGAACCTTGGCCCCATCTCAAGAATTCAGGCCTTTGGCAGAAACACCACGTTCTCTCAGCCTCGCCTGGCGACACCTGCCAGTGGCGACTAGGTCGCAGTGCTCAGGTCCTTTACCTGACTCACAGGTCTTACAACAAACTCCTGGTGGCGGGCTTTTGAGCGCCGAGAGCGCGGAGTCCCACCGGGCAGATTTCTGGTTAGTGGTCGCGGGTAGCCGCGACCCCAGCGACACGACGTTCCGGGTAACAGGGACAGGGTTCCGGGCTGGGCCACTAGCGCTCGAAGGCGAGATTTAACCCTTGGAACCGTGTGTCAGACAATGTTATGTTAGGGCACCGCTGACTTTACTGAAGTGAGGACAAACACTTGTGGAGAACTATACTCAACCCCAACAGCAGAGCCCGCGAGTCGAAGGACGCGAGTGACGAAAGCCCACCAGCTCACTTCCGGGGCCGCTCCTGACTTCAGGGTCGAGGCCGGAAGTTTCTTCCTCCTCCCAGAGCTCGGGGCCGTAAAGCAAGATGGCAACACTCTCTCAGAAGGAGTCGTTCAGCCTTTGTCCTATGTATAGCACTTCTGTACCCACCAGGCTCTCTATATTTCCATCTCCCTTCCTGGATTCCTCAGAAAAGCTCACTCATATTACAACCTCACTCAGCTGTAGTGGAGTACGGCTTACAACGTAAGGTGGCGACCTGAGCCCTGCCGGACACCATTTTGTGGGGAAACTGAAGGCTGGGCGGGGCGAGCGTCAAGGAATCCAGGAGAAGCCGGCTGGAAGGAGGGCGTGGGCGGGGGTGGCGGAGGGCGTCGTAACTACGTGGTGTATTTCCGCTTCCTCTGGTTCCGTCGTTTGGGGTTGGACAGGGTTGTTGCGGAGGGCGGAGAAAGGTTGTTTGGAACTCCGTGCACGGTAAGGTAAACTGAGGCGAGCTGTGTGCGGGGATCTCTTCACCTGGCTGTACAGGAGAGCTGGAGACAGCATTTCTGGACTCGAGAAGGCGTGTAGGGTTGGAGATAAGAAGCTCGGAGATTTCTCAAGTTGGCGAGACTAGGAGGTGGGGCAGGGCTGGTGAATGGGAGGTGAATCGTGGGTGCTGCGAGTTGCCGACGGGTGTGCGGGAGAGTGAGCCCGGGCCCGCTGGAGGGCGGGCGGGAGCGGCTGGGACGCGGACTCGGACCTCGGGTCTTCGAGGACTGAGGAGTTAAGGTGGGCGCCAGTCGTACTACGGGGGTGTGGGAGAACGAGAGTGGGTCCTTAATGCCCGACGTTCTGAGGTTGAGTATAGCCTTGACCTTTGTTTCCCTTGCAGTTCCCCAGACACCTATCCGCGGCCTCTGCTCGGGCCCAGCACTGTGTCCACCTGCCACCTCTGCCCCGAGGCGCCTGCCTCCGGCCTCCCGAATGGTGCGCCTCCTCGCAGGCCTCGGCCCAGGATCCAGGCCTCCTCTGCCCCTGGCCTCGGAGCAGCAGCTCCCCGTGCCTGGGAGAAAACAACTTTTGCACAGACTAGGCTATAGCGCTAGGCACCCTGCTGACGACAGGAATCTCCACCTTTAACTCAGTTGCGAGTTCTTCCTGTGCCCCCTTTACAAACAGTCTTTGAGAAGAGAAACCTTTCTTGCCACCCAGAGCCCAGGAAACCCCAAGCTGGGGCCCTGGCCCCAGCATGTTAGTCCTCTCTTGTGCATAGGGCTGTGCCCTCTCCCCATTGGCATGGCTGAACTCAGGCAGATTCCAGGGGGCCGGGAGACCCCTCAGGGGGAGTTGCGGCCAGAGGTTGTGGAGGATGAAATCCCTCGGAGCCCAGTCGCGGAGGAGCCCCGAGGAGAGGGAAGCAACAGCAGTGAGTCCAAGTTTTCCCCCGGGGAGGAGGAAGAGCTGGATCCTCGAATACAGGTGAGACTGAAGGGGGAGAGAGAAGGGTGCCACCTTTCCTAGAGAGCTGGCAGATGGGTGCACTGGGGCAGGAAAGGAAAACAGTCTTGTCAACAAATCATGGCAGTGCAGTGTGACAAGTACTAAAAGATCAGTCTGTGTTGGGTATGCTAAGACATGCCAGTTCAAGTGCCTGCTGTAGTTACTGAAGCCTCACTGGAGAAAGGGAAGGGACAAATTGGTGGCAGATATAGGAGGCACGCTTCAGGTCAATGCAGAGGAGAACCATTGTTTCCAAATAAGCAGAGGGCCAGTCAGCTCATATGTGGTGTGACTGGAATGTGAGAGGAGGTAACTTTGAGGTTGGGAGAGGATCTCACCTTATCACTGCCTCCCAGGGGTATTCACATCTGTAGAGGGTGAGACCTTTCATGTGTTGTAGAGGTGGCATGAGGTTTAGGCCTGTGAAAAAATCCTGTGTGTGTCAGCTGTGTCAGTCCTCAGTGACACAGATGCCCAGCTTTAAGGATGCTGCTGCTGTCCAGTGCCTTGGAGCACTTGCAGGCTATTTGGTTGGTCAGGTCTTTGGGAAGGAAACCTGTAGTAATGGGTAAGGATGGAGAAGGGTGGGCACCAGGTGGAGGAGATGCTTGGCCAATGGAGGCTGGATTGGAGTGATTCCAGGCAGTGGCTGGGAAGGACTAGCCTGGGAAGCTGCTTGGGCAGGTGAAGGCCAGCATGTTTCTGTGTTTGGGCCTGACCCTGCCCTTAACTTCATAGCAGCTTCACAATTTCTGATGTGCTGGTAACTCACACCTGTAGGTGAGTAACACATTCGGAGGCTTGCAGTCCTAGGCTTCTCTGTCCAGAACCTTTAGTAGATTACTTTCGTGTATTTAGAAGAAATCAGAGCTGGTCCTACAATCCTTCCTGCCATCTTGGTGGGGTTCCTGGGATGCATGTGAAGCAGCGGAGAGTTGGTGACATTCCTGTTGTGTCCCACAGGCATTGCATTGAACTCAGCTCAATTTCTCCTGCTCGTTCCACAGATTATCCTCCACTGAGGAAACAAGTTGTAGTGAAAAAAGCCTTAGGCTGAGACTGAAGCAAACTCCTGCCCGATGATTTGTGATTTTCATGCAAGTTACATAACCTCTGTGAGCCTCAGTTTCTTTATCTGTAAAGTAAGGGGTGTTCTCACTGATTTGTACAACTCCTTCCCACCCTGCTCTGACACTCCTATGAATCTTATGGTTTCATAAATTCTTTAGTTTGTCTCTTGATGACAGTTTGCAGGTAGCTCTGGGAAAGAGACCCCTGTACACATTGGGGAGGAGGGCCATATGGTGTGCTGCATGCTCCTTGCGGTGTTCCTGGCACTGCTCCCAAGGAGAATCCAGCAGCTTCTTCCCTCAGTCCTTCCTGCTCCTGTAATGCTCAGTGTCCACACAGAGTCACTCCGATGCTTCAGTCTTCAATCACATAGCCACTAAATGCAAGTGGTTACTTAAGTAAAATCAATTAAAATGAAATAAAAATTAAAGATGCTGTTCCCCAGATGCTGTTGGCAAAGTAGAATTAGGCCATTCTGTCATGGGTAGTTCCATTGGATGAGCTTTGTGAGGTTTGGAGTACACTGGGCATACTGATATCCTCAAGCCTCCAGTGAGCCCACTGTGACTTGCTGAAGTGGGGTGTGTGTTGTGGAGTATGTAGGAAGGAAGGGTGTCCTTGCACAGGCCTCCCTCATTGGTGCCCTCAGCCCAACCAGTGTTCTGGCCTCAGTGAGAATTCAGCTCTTGTTGCCATGTGGGAGAGGCAGGCTGCTGTGAGGGCACCCTTCATGGAGTAGGTAGCTGGCATTCAGCCCTTCTGGAGTTGGGCTCTTCCGGATATAGATGACAGTGGGGCATGTGTCTTTTCAGGTCCTTTTTCTGCTGATAGTGCACAGGCTGTGTTCTCCTGATAATGTGTTTTAGTGCATTAAGTGGATTCTTGGTGCATTCAGTGGGTCTTTACCCACAGATCCATCAAAACCCACCAGGGAGCTCTAAGAGCACCCGTTTGAGCTGTGACGGGACGTGTGCATCCTCTTGGCCTGGGTGGGCGCGAAGTGATTCTAACATGCAGCCTGGGCAAGGCCACTGGGCCAGGAGCGTCTGAAGACAGAGATCCTGTTCAGATGTTTTCTGGAACTTCAGGTGAGGCTCTTTCTGATGTGGGGACTGGGGTTTCTTGGAAGGCAGGCAGCCCGCCCATGGCCCAGTTGTCTGATAGGATCTTCTGCAAGTCAAAGGTAGCCAGCTGGAGTCCACTGGCTCTATCTTCCCCAGGTCTTGACCTCAGCCTAGTTCTCTGAGGCCTCCAAGCTCGTCTTGTGCTCTGTGAGACAAGGAGGGTTCCAGAGGAGGAGGGTGGTGCCGGGAATCTCCTCCTCAGTAACTTTCTTAGCCTCTTTGTGATAAGTGCACTCGTTTCTATGGTGAGTGAGTACATTCACTCAGATGCTGCTTCCCAGACTATTAAGGGTGACTTTGCAGCCTCTGCCTCTTCATCTGAAATGTTGATTTGGCTCACAGACAGCTTTATTTCTCTTATTTCCAAGATATGGGCCCAGTGTCAACCCTGCCCCACCCTCTGACCATGGCTTAGTGTGTTAATGGCAGCAGAAGCATGTTGGCAGTTTGAGTGGCCTGGCATCCTGGAAATGCACCATGTGTCCTTCAGTAAGGTCACCCTTCCTGCTGGCTACAGGCTCATTGATGGGCAATATTTGCTGACTTAGACCTCATTTTCCTGGAGTTCTGTGTCAGCAGCTGTCAGGAGTCCCTAGCAGGGCAGACCATACAAAACAGGTTACCAGCTGCCCAAATGGTGCAGCCTGGCAGCCTCCACCTCTCTGTAGCCCTCTAGAAAGAGCTTTGTGACTGACTGAAGGGCAGGCCTCATTCAACATAGGACTTTTAATTTCTGGAGCTGCTGTGCCAGTGCTAATTCCCACCCTTCACCACTAGCTAAAGCCTTGTGCATCCTTTCTTTATCTCCATTGGGGATGGCTTCCATAGGGCCATCCTCTCTGATGATCTTGTCAGGGACTGGGAGCACATTGGGCCAGGGAACCGAGTGAGAGGTAGAGGTAGTCTGGACCTTGGTCTGCCTATGGGAACAGTGCAGAGTGGCCTGCACCCCACTCCTCTTATTCTGCCCCCAAATCAATGCTTGTTGTTCTCCTGAGGCTTGTCCTTTACTATCAGCCATGGCTTTCTGAGGTTATGATGTTCCTGTTTTCTCTGAGGTGTCCATCCAGGAACATCCTAGGAGGGTAGTCACAGTAGCAGGAAAGCTTGGTCAAAGGGTAAGTTCAGGGTCCAGCCCCAGCTCTGTCACTGATGGCTGGATGCTCACCTCATTGTTTCTTGTCTGTCAAGAGAATGAGCTGAGAAAGGGAAGATGCTGGTGGGACTGCTGGCAGGGTGGCACCTCTTGTCCTAGATTCCAAAACTGCTGTGAGCTGGGCCCACGGGGAGAGGAGACCTCTCACCCTAATAGGAATTGCCTCCTCTGAGGGCCTACTAGGGTGCTTCCATCAGCGCTGGGTTGGTGTCTTTATAGGGAAGGCAGTGAAACTGGGAGCTGTGTGGTGGCTGGGTGCTCCCTCTGTTCCAGACTGCCATGTTTTCTTGTGGATACTAGATTGTATGATTGAGCAGGTGGCCATGTGCACCGCTTTCTAGATCAGATTGCCCAGTATGGAAGCCAAGTGCCACTGGCCGGGCTGAGATGTGTGCCGAGGGTCAAAATGCCTGTGGATATTTCAAAGGCATAGCCTAAAAAAGAACGTAAAATGTGTTAATAATTTATTTTGGCAACATAATTGAAATTACAATTTCTTGGGCATATATGGTTAAATGAAAAGTGTTACAGTTTCATCTGTTTGGTTTCCTTTTTTTTCTTTTAATGTACACATGAGGCTGCCATTTTATTTTCGTTGGGCAGCTCTGTTCCATCCAGTGTGAAACAATCTTGGAGGCAGGCTGAGAGTGCTTTCATATCTTTGTTTTTGGTTCTGTTGTTTGTCTGTCTTTGTGTTCTTCCTTTACTATAATTAGGACATGTGACTTGATTTCCTAGATTCTTACTTATAGACTCAAATCTCAGGGTTTGAGGAGGGGTATAGAAATAAAAAGACTAAGGGGTATCATACACTGGGTTGCTGGAAGAGCCAAATGAGGCATATGGGAGCTGGTGGTGGCATTGTGACTCCTGGCCAGATGCAGGCCATGGCTGGGCATGGGCAGCAGGCAGACACAGATGAGTCGGGCTGGCTGCTGCAGGGCTCCTGCAGGGACTCAGCTGAGCACCAGACATCACCTGGGACACTGCTCCTCCTCAGAAATGTCCTTGGCTTTTTGGGCTCCAGGAAACTGGCTGAGAAAGGTCAGGGTGGAAACTTGGGGCCAACACTTGTACCTGCTCTTTGTTCTAGCTTGTCCTGGGTCCATTATGTCTGGTGATGTCTTCCTGAGGCTCTTCTTTTCTCCCCCAGGATCTACTGGATGGGAACCTGGGGTTATTGTCACCCTACTCTTGAGCAGGCCTCAAGGCCTCTTGAATCATGCATTCTTCCCTAATCTGATCTCAGTTGTCCATCAGGCCCTTATAATTCTGCATCCTGCATTTCCCTGGACCTGTCTTTTCTTCCTCCAGCTGGAGTACTGCTGACAGTTGCTACCATTGTCTCCCTGGGCTCTCCACTCATTTCTCATATGCTCAGATAAGCCAGGTCACACGGGGCTCTGAGAGGTGCCCCTCCCCTGTGCCCCAGCCTTGCTGGCTTCTCACCTGAGCACCTGCCTCCTGGCACCTGCCCGTCACTGGTATTTCCTGTACATCCATCAAGGTCCAGTCTGGGGGCAAGTACTCTGGGTATTCTGCCCTGGCGTTGTGCTGCCCAGGTAGGTGACTCTGCTGTCCCCACCACCTAACAGGCCCACTCCTCCATGGCTCCTCATGCCATGAGGGTTTCTTGCTTACTTGCTGGGTCACGAGCCGTCACCTTCTGAGCCCTGTATTCTCAAATCTTATGTGCTGAGGTGTGTAAGTGTACAGTAAATGCATGTTGAGTGAGTGGCTCAGGGAAGAGAGTGTGAGCACTGAGGAGACTTCTGGCTGGAGGTCAAGGAAGAGGTGGTGTGGTCTCAGGGAGAGCTAACAGGCTGCCGCCAGATTGCTGTGTGCATGAGTATTTCATTCTCCAAACCTTGATTTCCTCACCTTTAAAGTGGGGGTTTTACTGCATGACACAGGTAACTCGCGAGATGACTGGAGACTGTGTGTTAGTGTCGGACACAGAGGAGCAGTGCTCTTCTGCATTCTACCTTTCCTTACTTGGGTGGACTCTTCCTCTATGCATGCACCTATCCCCCGAACCTGGCCCACTGGAGTCTCTAACTCTGCCCTTGTCTGTGGCAGGAAGAGCTGGAGCACCTGAACCAGGCCAGCGAGGAGATCAACCAGGTGGAGCTGCAGCTGGATGTGAGTGTTCTGCCCCAGGTTTCTTCATGGGTCTCCCTCCCTTTTCAGCACAGTGGCAGGAAAAGGGGAGATATGGGAAATGAGGGATTGGGATCTGCACACAATGTGCCCTCTGCCCACACATTTGTCCCTTTGCCAGGAGGCCAGGACCACCTATCGGAGGATCCTTCAGGAGTCAGCGAGGAAGCTCAACACTCAGGGCTCCCACTTAGGGAGCTGCATTGAGAAGGCTCGACCCTATTATGAGGCTCGGCGGCTGGCTAAGGAGGTATAGACCCCTGACCCTTGCTTTGGAAGTGCTGTGTGCTGAGCCTGGGCAAGGATTCTTCTTCTGTACAGAGTGGGAGACAGATCACCTTTTCTCTTTGCTTTTCTCTTCCTTCTCTTCCCTTTGGTTCATATCTCTTTTTTTTCTTACCCTCCCCTTCTTTACCCTTCCTCCTCCCTTTTCTTTATACAAATAATGTGGATTCACCATTAGAAAACTGTAATAGTAAAACAAGAGAAAGAGAAGAAAACAAAAATTACCCCAGATTCTATTGTGTACATATTTTATGATCTTTGTGCCTGGAATTTGTTTTGGTCATGTATGGTGAGATGACAGAGACAATGGCAGTTCCTGAGAGCAGGGGTCCTGCGACATCATGCACAGCCACATGAAGAAGCACCTGGGTTGGTCAGGAGTCTGAAAGCATAAGGAGAAAGCTTGGCCCAGGCCCTTTTATGTGATTTTCATGGGAAGAAATGGGTAAGGCAGGGTAGGCCACTCTAGCCAAACTTAGGGTGGGATGGTTTGAGTCATGGGGTTGGGCTCTGAGTTGTGGGAGTGGGCCCTAGCTGTTTTGTACATGGCTCTGGGTGATTCAGAACAGGCAGTATTGGCTGGTATGTGAGAATCAGATACAGGAAGTGGTGGGTGTTGGGTTGGCTGGTTTGAATGTGAAAGGTGTGCTCACAGGGTAGTTTATCTCAGGAATTAGTTAGCACTGGGAGGGCCAGCACAGCCCCTGCCGAGTCAAAGCATTATAAAATACAGAAAGTACAAGACATGATTAATATAGTACAGATAACCCATTGAAATTATTGTATAAACTATGTCAAAGTGGTATTACACAATATATGCTACATTTTTTAGTTTATTATTATTTTAATCTTTACCTGAGGACATGCTTATTTATTTTCGAGAGAGAAGAGAGGGGGAGAGAAACATCTTTTGGTTGCCTGTCACATGTGCCCTGACTAAGGACTAAACCTGTGACCTAGCCATGTACTCTGACCAGGAATCAAACCCCTGTTCAGCATTTCAGTTTATGGAACAGTCCTCCAACCAGTTGATGCTGCCAGGGCTGTATGCTGCCTTTTAAAAAAATATATTTTCTTTAAAATTTTTTAAGTTTTAGACAAGAGGGGAAGGGAAAGAGAAAGAGAGGGAGAGAAGTATCAATGTGTGGTTGCCTCTCATGCTCCCCCTACTGGGGACCTGGCCTGCAATCCAGGCATGTGCCCTCACTGGGAATTGAAACAGCGACCCTTTGGTTCTCAGACTGTTGCTCAATCCACTGAGCCACACCAGCAAGGGTTGTATGCTGTTTTTGTTTTCTCTTTTACTTATTGACATAGTCCCATGTCAGTAAATACTCATTCATTGATGCCTTTTTAAGGGCTACTGAATATTTCCTTTCATAAGATGTACTATATTTATATAACCAGTTCCTTGGAACTGAACTTAGGTTTGTGTCCAGTATTTTGTGTGGTAAGCGAAGCTGGGATGACTGCCTCTGACTGCTAGTCTGATTATTTCTCTTACCTTACGTGCTTGACTAGAGTTGATGGTTTGAGGCATACTTTCTTTCTGTGAGACTTGGTCCACATTACTAATCCCATTGCAACTAACATGGGGTGAACATTTTTTTGTTCTCCGTCCAGCAGAAGGCCATCAGCCCCTGAGACTGCTGGGTCTCACTTGCTCATGCTCCACTGGCAGCATCATGATTTCCCATCTTCTCTCAGGCCATACCCTTAAACATACTCTTTGTAGAATGTTGCTTCCTTCGTTAACATTTATTCTCATCCTAGAGTGAAAAGTGAAGCCGACATTGCAGCGGGCCTTCCTCCTCTTGTCCTCACCCAGGATAGGTCTCCATGGTCCATGGGGAGGCCCTCCAGGGCTCCCTATTCTGACGACCCTCTCCCCCCAGGCCCAGCAGGAGACACAGAAGGCAGCCTTGCGGTACGAGCGGGCTGTGAGCATGCACAACGCTGCCCGGGAGATGGTATTTGTGGCTGAGCAGGGAGTCATGGCTGACAAGAACCGTCTGGACCCTACGTGGCAGGAGATGCTCAACCACGCCACCTGCAAGGTGAGCCAGGCTGTCGAAACAAGTCCCTTCCCCTATTTTCCTTGCTTCTTTTGCTGCCTCTTTATCTCACACCCACTCTACTCCTTTTTCTCTATTTTCCACTCTAGCCTTTCCTCAGCTTTAACTCTGATTCTGGCACATCTGTTCCTTGCTCTGTCCTGCTTGGCTTCCAGTGCTTTTCATGTACATGTCCTCTGGACTCAGACTCTCTGGCATCTTCTGAACATTTCCCTCCAGGTTTGGGACTAACCCAAACAGTCCAACCCTGCTGGATGCTCTGCAGTCAGCATGCACATTTTATTATGTTCTGCCATGATTCCTTCTGTCTTCAGAATATTCTCCCTTTCTTGCTTTTAAGCTCTGCCACTGTAACTTGATATTTGAAGTGTAATTTGTGTATCATTTCCAAGTCACTTGAGGGGCCTGGGGAGTAGGAGGATTCCTGGCATCAGCTTTAGTCTGCCACTTTCACTGTGTAAAGAGCAAGTGTCTCAGTCCATTCAAGCTAAGAAAACAAAATAATATATAGCAAATGTCTTAAACATTTGTTTTAAACAGGAAGTGTTTATTTCTCATAGCTGTGGAGGCTAGGAAGTACAACATCAAAACACAGGCAAATTTGATGCCTGGTGAGTGTCCCCTTTCTGGTTTCTAGACAGCTGGCCATTTTTTCATTGTATCCTCACATGTTGGAAGGGGTGAGGGAGCTCTCCAGAGCCTTTTTATCAGGGCACTAATCCCACCCATGAGCTAATCACCTCTCAGAGGGCTGCCTACAACAATGTCAACATGGCAGTTAGGATTCCAACATGTGAGCTTTGAGGGGGGCACATTTAGTCTAGAGAGCAAATGTGAGCTTCTGAGGGGTGGTCATGTCTCAGGTTCTCTGAGGCTCCTTAGTCCAGGCCCCCACATTGCATAGAGCAGGAGCTCACACAGAGGAGTGCAGCACTGGGGAGGGCCTTTTGAGCTGTGAGTGGCAGGGCTTGATAGGACTCTAGTGTGTGTCTGCCCAGGGTGTGGCTGGGTTGGCCCCCGATCCTGGTGGACAAGGTGGCAGGAACCCTTACCTGCTCCCTGTTGGGTCATGAAAACCCAGAGAACCCAGTGAACTGTGGATCCCCTCACTGGGGCTCCTCTGGTTTCCCCCAGCTCCCACCCCTGGTACTGAGGGCTCCCTGAGGATGATGACTGTGGCAGATGTGCCCAGACAGACATTCCCAATAGGTTCACAAGTTGTCCAGAGGGCCCACCACCCTCCTGGGAGCAGAAAAACCAAGTGGCAGTAGTGCTGGTAACAATGGCAGGTGCAAGGACCCACTATTCTGTGGGTTTCAGGATCCATGCCCTTTCAGCCTCTGCAGACAGTGGGGGTTTCCCCCGAGGAAATGTTTGGAGTGGCAGCCTAGTGGAGGGCTGATGACACGGTCAGGAGCATGTCCCCCAGCTCAGTGACGTTTGTCATCTGCCCTGCCTGGGCCAGGTGAACGAGGCGGAGGAGGAGCGGCTTCGTGGAGAGCGGGAGCACCAGCGGGTGACACAGCTGTGCCAGCAGGCTGAGGCTCGGGTGCAAGCCCTGCAGAAGACCCTCCGGCGGGCCATTGGCAAGAGCCGCCCCTACTTTGAGCTCAAGGCCCAGTTCAGCCAGATCCTGGAGGTAGCTGTGGGGAGGGAGGGACAGGCAGGGGGATGCAGACATAGAAAGTGAGGGCAGCAGGGCAGTGTGTGGTCTGCCTCTGCGCCATTGCCAGGCCAGCTAGATGAGACAGGTGGTGGCTGGGGAGTCCGTTAAGGAGCATGGGTTGGGGTTGGGGACAGATGCTGGCTGAGAATGGAGTTGTAGGGAGGTAAGGGAGAAAAAGTGAGAATTGGGAAACCAGGAAGGATGAGGAAGAGGAGCTGGCTAGATAGAGAAAGAGGACCATAAGAAGAGAAGAGTGGTGGGTGGGGATGAGGGCCTGGGTGGAAGATGCTGTTGGGCTTACGTTCCAGCAGGGCCTGGTTTGGATGGGTGTGGCGGGGGGGGGAGCAGGAGCAGATGGGGAGGGGCTGCCCAGTGGGGCTGAGAGAAGTGGCAGCTCCCATCTGTGGAGCATTGCCTACTGAGTTATGTCACTCAGCTCCTCCTTCCCTTCCTCCTTAGGAGCACAAAGCTAAGGTGACAGAGCTGGAGCAGCAGGTTGCTCAGGCCAAGACCCGCTACTCTGTGGCCCTGCGCAACTTGGAGCAGATCAGTGAACAGATTCATGCACGACGCAGGGGCCTGCCCCCACACCCACCAGGTCCCCGGCGGTCTTCCCCTGTGGGCGCTGAGGCTAGGCCAGAGGAGGATGGAGACAGCGGGATCATTGAGGGGGCTGAGGGTGGAGCCCCAGAAGAGGGCTGCAGCCTGGGGCCTGCTCCTGCCCGGGATTCGGACACGCTGAGCCTGCTGAGTCTGCGTACAGTGGCCTCGGACCTACAAAAGTGTGACTCCGTGGAACACCTTCGGGGCCTCTCGGACCACGCCAGTCTAGATGGCCAGGGGCTGGGTCCCCAGAGCAGGGGCCATGGGGGCCGCCACCAGCGCAGCATCAGTCTGTAGCCAATGCTCAGGGTGGCTGTGTCCCTTACCACTGCTGGCCTGTGCAGGGCCACATGGGCTCCCAACTCCTGTGCTGGGGGTCTTGCTTCCCCTGGAGAGGCTGGGTTGGCTGTGACTGAGTCCTCTTGTCATTTGTACCCCGCCTCCTCCCCGCCCTCCCAGGTGTTGCCTTACTCATCATCAGAAGGCTTATCTCTGGTCCTCACAGTCTGTCCATGCCCTTTGCTGGCCTCTGACATTTATTCTCCTGCCTGGCTTTTTCCTTCAGGTAATTTGGTCTGGGAAGCACAGGGAAGCCCATCACAGAAGGTAGGACCTGAATCCAGCATCTCAAAGCCCCCCAGCTTGAGTGGATGGACAGGCATTCCTCCTACCTTTCTGTCTCCTGAGGGGCCCTAGGGATGTGGCAGAGCCCTCCTGGCAGCCCTGCCCCTATGTTCTGTCTCAGTTGACCTGTGTGTGATTTGTAAGATGCATTGTGAGGCTGTGTGCCTTTGGAAGACACAACCTCTGTCCCTTCAGTGCTCCATTCTCATGACCTGATCCACTTTGTTCTGGGTGCCCCAGAGCAAGACTTGAAGGGTGCTGCTGTCAGGAAAGGTGAAACCTGACCCCAGTGTCAACATGGGACCATGGGCTCCCATGTGCTTTGCTTTCCCAGCAGGACTGGACCCTCAACATTGCTAAGGTGCTAGTGGGTCTCTGCTAGGGTCCCTGTTGGGAGTAGAGAGGTAATGAGGTCCTGATGTGGAGTGAGGTTTACTTTAAAGGATGCTGAGCTGGATCTTGGCCTCCTGCAGGATGGAGTTAGGAATTTGGTGCTCTTCCCCCAACCAAACCATACTACTTGAAGGTCCCTGGGGAATGCCCAAGAGTGGCAGCTGCCCTTGGTGTTGAGAGAGGACTCACCCTTCACAGGGAACAACTCCAGGTGTCTGGTAGTGCTCTCAGCCTGTGTGGGGGCAGGGCGGGGAAGCTGCACTGAGCCTGGGGGCCTTGGAGGGACTGGTGGTTCCTGTCCCAGGCTAGGAGGGCTGGGCTGGCGTGCTGCTGTGAGCAGAGCAGTTGGCCTGCACATGGACACTGTCTCCCTGTTCCAGGGTCCATGCAGGATGGTCACGATGACAACCTCTGGGTTCGAGGTAGTCATAGCTGTGTATGTGTGTGCATGTGCCAGTATGGGGGGAAATGTCCCTGATTTTATTTAAATAAAATAGTTTATGTAACAGTAATGTTTACCTCTCCTACCACAGAAAGGAGCATAGAGAGAGGGGAATAGCAGGGTGATGAGGGTCTCTTTTAGTGGAGTGGTCAGGGAAGGCCCCAGGGAGATAGAGAAGAGTTGGATCTTTGATCTAGCCAGGCCAAGGGGAGAAGGGAAGGCTTCTGGCTTCTGGAGTGAGCCCACAGGGGAGGCTTCAGAAGGGGAGGCTTCTGGCTGGAGTAAGCCCACAGGGGAAGCTTCCCACCCTGCCTGCTGGGTGGGGACAGGTATGTAGGGTGGAGTGGTGTGGACTTGCTGGCTGCTTATTATCCACATGAGTGCTACTCCTAGATGTGAGTGAGTATGAAGAAAGGGTTACAGGATTTAGTAAATACACAGGTTGTCTGGCTAGCTCTGAATTTCATATAGTGAATGATTTCTTGTCCACTGAACTGTTAGGTCATACTTAGTTATTTTTGTTCTATCTGAAATCACATTCTAACATATAAAGGGTGACTCCAAAGTGCAGGCTTGCTCTGTTGTGGGGCAAGAAGCGTTTGAGTGCCTTCTGACCCCAGCCTGTGAATTATCCAGTGGCATCAAGTGGAGAAGGACGGAGAACTTCAGGAGCATGAGGTACATGAAGGCTTCTGGCTGAGCCCCATCAGGGCTGCACCTGCATACTCAGGTAGCTGAGGGTTGGGGTTGGCCAAAGGAATGGAGAAGGTGCTGCTGGGAGAGTGGGAGACCCACTGGAAACTTGGTGGGAAATGAGGTCTGAAGACCCTGTAGGGGATGGCAAAGGACAGGAGGGCAGAGCAGTGACTGGTGACCTCGATGGGACGTTAGTAGCCAATGTTTATGGAACGTATACTTGCACCCTTTGACAGGTACTGTCCAGGTGTGAGGCTGCCTTTACTGAGAAGGGAAGTGTGGTAAGGTGGATGGGTGCCGTGGTGTTCCATTTATCCCTAGAAAAGCTCTATGAATGCATGGCCTGTGTCCTTGGGCAGCTGAGCTTTCTAAGATGATACCCAGCTCATCCTTTTCTCCCTAGTCCCTGGCAGCGCACACCTGTAAGGCTCCTGGTGTAAAGGGACCCAGGAAAGAAGGACTGGCTGTGGCTGCCTGTTTCTTGCAAAATCACCTGCCACATGAGACCAGGAAAGTTAAAGCTGATGACGCTTCCTAGTGGAATAAAATGACCACAGTGCAAGTGCCCCCATAGGATCCTGACAGCAGAGGCCAGCACCAGCCCAGGGCATGTCCTGTGCCAGGTATGTACATTGACTCATTGTACCCCCACTGTGGGGTGGGTGGCACGACAGCTGCCTTTGCCAGACGAGAAACAGGCACAGCGGGAGTGCCCAGTCTATCCCAACTTGTAGAAGGAGATGGAGGCAGTTGGGTTCTTAAGAATCCAAACTAGAGCCCTTGAGTTAAGGACTTCACAATACCCAGAGGTGACACAACAGAGGCAGTGGGTGGAGTCACCTCTTAGGAAGTTTGGCTGGAAATCCTGGAATGGTCAAGGAATTTTGTTAAAGAGAGTGAAGCAGTCAGGTTGTGGGCGATGTGGAGCCTCGTGTACCCCATTCCTATACCATGTCCCATGTCTCAAGGAGTGGTAACAGTGCTTCTGAACCATGCCTTCAAGTGAGCAGCTGGGCCTCAGTCTCTCCACCACCTAGCAGTACACACCTGGTACCTAATAGATGCCCAGTGACTATGCTTTTGTGCCCCCCACATGCTCCCAGTCTGATGTACACCAGGTCACCTGCAGTTAGGTGGGGGTTTTCCAATGTCTCTTTGCTTAAGGGTCATCACTTGTACAATGAGAAGGTCCAGTGTATGAGCCTGATACAGGCCAGTGAGTGCCTGCCACTCCTGTGGCAGGTTTCCAAACACACTTCAAGGTGTGTTTGGAAAGGGTGGGCTCCTGGCATGTCACACCCCTCACTGTCTGCAGGGGGCAGCAGCAGCAGCATGTGTCTGGATCTGTCCTGCAAGGTTCCTTCTGAGAAGTACTGGGTGTGTGGTGGGCAAGCGCTGGGTGGTGTGCCAGTTTAGCCCATCTGGCCCCACTCAGGCCTCCTGCAGTTCTGCCTGTCCTTATTCTGCACAGGGCAAAAGTGAGCTGGGCCGGTTGTACAGGGCAGTGTCATTTAGGACCAGATGTTCTGTGGCTCTTGCCCCTATCCTCTTCCTCAACCCACCTTTCTCATCTGCCTTAGGGTTCTTGTCCTTGCCCCTTTCTCAGCCTCCCTCCACATTGGCCTCCTACACAATCATTCTCCACCTGGCCCCCTTCCTGAACTGCAGCCTCCACACTGCTCCCTCCCAGAACTGTCAGAACCAGGGATCATTTCACTGGCTGGCAAATGGATGAGTGCAGTTTATTAAGAGATAACCTGGATCCTTCTTAATACAAAACACTGGTAGGGCTTGTTAGGGGCACTAATAAGTGTGTGGGGTGTCCAGGTGAGGGGTGAGGGACACAGATGTATGCAGGTAGCAGGTGCATGCAAGGCAGTACAGATTGACTAGAGACGGCTGCAGTGAAGGAAGGCTTTAAGCAGGGTACTCACCACTTTAAAGCTTTGACCCAGCCACTGGGTATAGGCTGGACAGGTTCTGGCAGGAGGTCCTTTGCCCCTAAGTCTTCCTGACTGTAGGTCTCGCTCTTCTGATGGATGTCCTGAGCACCTCCAGGCAGGGCCTGTGACTTGCTGGCTTTGGTGTTCTCAGGGTCGGGCACATGACACTGACCCTCAATCATCTGTCCACTAACTTGCTCATTCCTATGTTACTCAACGCAAGTTTCCCCTGCTTAACTTATTAGACTTCTGCCTGTGATTTGAGGTCTGGCATGTCTGGCTCTTTAGCTAAGGGAGGGAGAAAGGGAGAGAAACAATGTGTGGTTGCCTATCACATACCCCCCTACTGGGGACCTGTCCCACAACCCAGACATGAGCCCTGACTGGGAACTCAACCAGCAACCCTTTAGTTCACTAGCACTCAATCCACTGAACCACACCAGCCAGGGCTCATGTAGACTTTTGACCAAAGGCCTTGCTTCTGGTTCCCCAGTTCTCCAGCCAGGTCTGCATTAATGTGTCCACCATCCCCAAGTTCCCTAAGGCCCTTTGCCTTACTACAGGATTGGTCCAATGCTACTGTGGTATCATCCCTGACTCTGTACTTGCTCAACCCTTACATGTTACAAGAGACATAATAATGAGGCCATATGTCATATTTGGTCTAAACTGGGACACTTCAGTGTGCAAGGGGCAGATGTAACTCAGGAGTGAAAAGCACTGACCACATTTTCCAGAGAGGGCTATCATTGGTCAGCCTGTACCACTAGGGGCTGTGTACCCATGAGTGACCTATTCAGCCCTCTGGCCTTGGTGTTCCAGTCTGCAAAAAGGTGGCCGCACCGGGCAGATGGCCTCTCAGGTTTTCCAAAGCACTAAGAGGACATGGGCAGTGGAGAGTGTTTGCCTTTGAGGAGTTTGGTGGCAATATGAACTGGTGGATGTGTTTTTAGAGTGGTCTTGGGAACAGAGCATGAGAACTCCAAGTCCAGGGTTGGTTGGGACTCAGCCAGAGGCAGTGGACACCTGCTTTGGGTGTGAGCTGATGACCATCTGTCCCATCAAGGGTCCTGCAGTGCCAGGGGTTTGCTTCTTCCTATAGAAGGCAGGTGGTGGTCACCATGCCTGGCATAAATCAGCTGATTTGTCCATCAACATAATTGGTGTGGGGGGGTAGTCAACATGAGTTTCTTTCCCATTTAGAGCAGAGGAACATTTGGATCTAGGATTAAATGTAGATCAGGGTGGTGGAGTATGGCAAGAAAAGACAAACTTCTTTCTCAGCTGCTTCCTCTCTGGGTCCTCTCCACTCCACACACAGCAGAACAGCATATCAACCACATAGGGTCCTTGTCCAGAGGGGAGGCAGGGATTCTTACAGGGGACTGGGGGAGGAGTGGGGGAATAATAGAAGCTTCTGGCAGGGGGCTCCTGGAGCTGTGCAGGCTCTCAAGGGCTGCCACTGTTCAGGGGAGAACAAGAGGCCCTCGCTTTATGTCACCTCTCTCTTTTCTTCTGACTTCAGTGTTGCTGCTGTGGTTTAAGCCCCCCATTCTCCTTGGAGAGAGGCCAGGGACCCAGCTGCCCCTGTTCTCCTATTAGGCTTCCTTTCAGCTGCCTGTTACCCAAACTCCACTTCCATGTTGGACAGGCTTCCCAAAGCTTCTTATCCCCAAATTTTCTTCTCCCTCAGACAGTTATATTTAGCAGAAGGGACTGTGGCAACTCAGCTGGAAAGGACTTGTCAATGATAAGAAAGGGTGCAGTGCCTTAGGGTGGTCTTCCTTGCAGGGAAGCTATGTCTCTATGGCACCAACAAAAACAAATTTAAGATTTAGAAAATAATTGCAACCAGGTATTTAGCTCTCCTGCTACCTTGAATATGCTGTTTACTTTTTCTGAATTTAATTAGTTAAAAAATATGTTAAACTAAATCAATATAATTATACACACATACATACATACATACATACCTTTAAAGACATCCAGAGAATGAAAGGCAAATCCATCTGGAACCATAAATGGAGAGGGATGAGAGGAAACAATGCAACTAGAGAAACCATAAGAACTGAAGAAAGTAAAAGAACTGGAGAAGAGAGGTGAAGCTAGTGCACTCACATGCCGGGAGGAGCCTCAGAGTCAAGTGAAAGCACACCTAGGTGACTAAGGCAGCAGTAGAATGGTGCTCCTGTTACCATACAGGGGTCTGGCCCAGAGTGGGGCTGCCTAGGGCCAGCAATAATGTGTGGGTTCTTGACTTTGTATAGGAAAGACTTCACAATATGGGTCCAGGTGACTATGAGGATATGTTTAATAAAGTTGGGGACAATAAGACAAGGAAGGGCTTAGCATAGAGGAAGCAACAGTAGAGACTTGGCTGCCTTAGCCCACTGGGAACTCAGAGGAAAGGGGGTCTTGGGACAGATTCAGGGGATTGGTCTAGGCCAAGCTGTTCTGCCCATTGCTCCCCTGATTGCAAGTCTTGGGGTTCTTTAGAATTTAGGAGAGGCATGCCTGTGGGGAAGCAAGCAGGGAAGAAGGGAAAGGGAACTGTTTCCCAGAGGAGTGTGTGTGTTCTCGGCCCTTTGTCTTGAGGCTCTATCTCGCTCTTGCAGGCGGGAATCTCAGGAGAGGGTGTCTGCAGGATATTCATCAGTTCTGCAGTTGTGCCCTGTCAGGAAGAGTACTGGCCTCCACTTATGAGTCAGTGACAGGACGGGCCATTAGTTATTGCAGTTGGTTCTGGCATTACCCACCTGGTTTTGCTGCTTTTCTGCTCCTGGAGCTAAAATACAACTGAGGCCTAGATTTACTCCAGGGCAGTGAATCTTTGTACATGAATGTATATTCCTCGGCCATTGTGTTCAGCCATCTGTCTGTTTTCCTACTCAACTTGCCAAGGAATTTTCCTAGCTTGTTACTATCCTGTTTCACTTAGAGGTAGGTGCCCAGACACTCACTGAGCCCAGGTCAGATTTATAGTCCTTATCTTATCTTATCTCAAGGTTCCTAGGTATGGGCTCTTCCTGAATCTGCCTACAGTCTGCACCCATCTGCTAGCCTAAAGTTCATGGCTCAGATATCAGGAAAATCACTGATAAATTTGTTTCAGACATGCTCCACCTTCCACTGGCTCCAACAGTGTTTGATATCTCATAATCAGAAACCAGATGTTATGAGTGAACTAGAGACATAGGCAGGACCCATGAGAGACACAGGGAACAGTTGAACTTCTTCCTGAAAGTAATCATTCTATGGCCTGAGGTAGCAGAGGACCCAGGGAGCTGTGCCAAGGCCCTCTGTACAGCTCTGCACCATTAATTCCATGAGGATTTGTCTGCCTGGAACCCAGCTGAACCCGAACCAGGCCAGTTTAATCAAAACAGTACTATTTTCTTGAGGACTTGTGGGTTCTGAGAATTTTGTTTCTTTGTGGGATATGATCTTTCAGTTATGAACATGAACATCTCACAGTGAAATGAGAACACATGAATGTCTGTCTCTCACCTGCCCTTCATCATTCTGTTACTCTGACCTAGATATAAATATCACTGCAACTTATTTGAAAAGCACATTCTCAGGTCCCACCCACTCCAGAGGTACTGGGTCAGGAACTTACCGTGCAGCTGGGGGGTGGCACCTAGTCTGTTCATGGGCTGTCTAGACGATCCTTGGTGGTCACTGGAGTTTGTGAACAGCCATAATCGGGAATATGGCAAACACATAGCTGCATTGGATGCCTAAGACTGATCACTTCATTTATCTTTTCTAAAATATATTGAGTTAATATATTTTAGATCAATCTAAAATCAATAAAATATATTAATTGATTATGCTGTTATAATTGTTTCAATTTTCCTTCTTTGCCCCACTTTGCCAAGTATTTCCCTTCCCTCCAGCCGTCTCCCCCTTAGTTCATGTCCATGGGTCATGCATATAAAGTTGTTTGGCTTCTCCATTTCCTTTACTATTCTTAACCTCCCCCTGTCTATTTTGTACATACCATATATGTTTCTTAATCTTTGCATATTTCCCCCAATTCACCCCCTTTCCCCTCCAAGCTGATAACCCTTCAAGTGATACCCATATCTATGATTGATTCTGTTTCTGTTCTAGTTGTTTCCTTAGCTTGTTTTTTCAGATTCAGTGGTTGATACTTGTGAATTTGTTGCCATTTTAGTGTTCATAGTTTTGATCTTTTCCTTAAATAAGTCCCTCCCTTTAACATTTCATGTAATGAAATGTTACATGGATGTAACATTTGGTGATGATGAACTCCTCTAACTTGACCTTATCTGAGAAGCATTTTATCTGCCCTTCCATTCTAAATGATAGCTTTGTTGGATAGAGTAATCTTAGTTGTAGTTTCTTGCTTTTCATCACTTTGGATATATTTTTCCAGTCCCTTCTTGCTGCAAGTTTTCTTTTGAGAAATCAGCTGATAGTCTTATGGGAACTCCTTTGCAGGTACCTCTCTGATTTTCTCTTTTTGCTTTTAAGATTTTTCTCTTTCTCTTTAACGTTTGGTATTTTAATTATGGTGTGTGGTGGTGTGGTCCTCTTTGGGTCCAACTTTTTTGGGACTCTCTGTGCTTCCTGGACTTGTATGTCTATTTCCTTCACCAAATGAGGGAAGTATTCTCCCATTATTAAATAAGTTTTCAATTTTCTTTTTATTTTTGATAGTATAAAAGTTTATATTTATTTTTTAAAAGATTTTATTTATTTATCTTTAGAGGGGAAGGGAAGGAGAGAGAGAGAGAGAAATATCAATGTATGGTTGCCTCTCACACGTCCCCTGCTGGGAACTGGCCTGCAACCCAGGCATGTGCCCTGACTGGGAATCGAACCGTGATTCCTTAGTTCACAGGCCCACATTCAATCCGCTGAGCTACACCAGCCAGGGCTAAAAGTTTATTTTTAACAAGGGCCTCAATGATTCCAAGGTTTGATGAAAAGTGTGGCTTGGGGAAGCACCTTTACCCTTCATCATACTGGGTGACATAAACAATAAAATTAAATTACAAGCAGTGGAACAAAAAATAATTTTCTTACATAAAAATACTTTCCTTACATAAACTATTAACAGATACCTAAATACAATATGTGCTTTAAAGTGAAATCATATGTATATAGTTGTATTCCTAAAGATAATTTATGAGTTATACATTACCTATACATTAACAACAAATCCAAATGCAGAGATGTTTCTGTGAATTTCCTCTTTCATTGAGCATCAAAACCCACCAATCTTTTGGTCCTTTTCTTGTACATTATTCTGTATCCACATTCTCTGCATCTTGATTGTATCTCTGGATTTTATTTCATTTTCTGTGTGACATTCTCCACAAATACGTATCATTGGCTACTGCTTAGGAGGTTCGACGTCCTTCTGGGTGTCCATTGTTAGTCCCCACATAGTTTCCAGAAACTCCTCATTCTGAATTTCCAAACAGATTGCAGCTCAGTTTTCAATTTCTTGCTCTTCCTCTTCTGGCATCCCTATGATTCAGATGTTGGCATGTTTGGAGATGTCCCAGAGTTTACTTACACTGTCCTTGCTTTTTTTTTTTTAAATTCTTGTTTCTCCTTTCTGTCATGGTTGAATGTTCATTTCTTCCTTGTGTTCTAAATAGTTAATTTGAATCCCAGCTTTCTTCCCTTAACATTGGTTTCCTGTAGATTTTTCTTTATTTTAGTTAGTGTATCCTTCTTGTCTTCCTTTACGTTGTTGCCATACTCAATGAGTTCTTTGAACATCCTGATCATCAGTTTTTAAACTCTGCATCTAACAGGTTGGTTAGTTTTTTTTACTGGGGTTTTGTTCTGCTCTTTCATTTGGGCCATATTTTTTTGCTTCCTCAATTTGGCAGCCTCCCTGTGTTTGTTTCTGTGTATTAGGCAGAACTGTGTTGACTCCTGTGTTAGTAGCATGGTCTGTTGTAGAAAAGGCACCTGTAAATTATGTGGGGTGGAGCCAGTAATCACCAGGACAGGGCATCCTGCTTCACCACTTTGTGGCTTTATGTGGGGAAGGGCTCAAAGAAGGGACAGTGCTACTGCCTGGCTTTTGAAGGTTTGCTCAGCATTCACCCTGTGTGACTGGTACCCTTCCAGCTGTTGCCATGGTGCTAATTAAGACCTTTCAGGCCCTTTAAGTGGAGTCTCCTGAAAATTCAGCAGTTTTTCTGCCACCCCCACCCTCATTGGTTTATATAGCCAAAAGTTATGGGGATTTATCTTCCTGGTGCTGGAACCCTGGGCTGTGCTGTCTGGCCTTGGGCTGGGATTGCTCTTTCCCAAGGTATTCCTCCCAATTTTTATCTACCACGTGAATGTGGGACCACCTATTTTGGCATGGCCTCTTCTCTGTGCCACACTGTGTCTCCTTTCTTCTCCAACCCTCTCCTACCCATGTAGTTGAATGTGGTTTCTTTAAATTTTTGATTGTTGGACTTTAATACAGCTCAATTTTCTGATGGTTCTGAGTGTTACTTGTAATGAGGTCTAGTTGTAATTCTGTGGTTGTGCAAGGAGGCAAAGCCTTTTTACTTATACCTCCAACTTGACAGGAAGTCTCTTTCATCTCATTCACTTTTTATTGGCCCAGGCAGGTCACCTGGACTAACTTAAAAGGAGTAATAAGTATGGCCTTAACATTTACCTTGGAGGAGGGCATCTGGGGTATTTTAGAGCATAGATAGAAAAAAACATGACTGTGAACATTATAAGGTAAGTGGCAGAAGCTAGGATTTGCTGTTTGTTTTTGAAATGCAATTTTTCTGTCTGAAAAATAAGGTCTTTGGAACATAAGCTGAGTCCCTTTGCCACCCAAGACTAAATTAACAGTAATTTCTTAGTGTCATCTATTAAACTAAAGGAACATTTCTCCGATTGCCTCATAACTGTCCCTTAACAGTGGGCAATCTTCAGGCTCCAAACAAGCCCCATATGTTGCATTTGGAGTGTTAGGTGGCTTCATTTCAGGATGTGTTTCTGAGGGTGTGGTTGCCACTGTAAAGAAAAATTAATTTTATACTGTAATCAAGAATAATGAACATTTATTTGAGCAGAAGGAGCTGTATCCCAGGAGACACACATTCAGATAGCAACATAAATTGTGTTCAGTGCAACAAAGGGAGACTGCCTTTTGTAGTAAAAGTACCCACCCCCATTCCCAATTAGGTCCATTTTATGTAAATGAGGGTACAATTTGTGCAATTCTGATTGGACAGGGCAGGTCTCAGTACCTTGGTAGAAGACCAGGGCTTCCCTCATAGTGGTTGACTCAGACCAAAAACAAACAGTATAGTGCAAGAAGCCAAGTTGAGGATTCACATCAAATGAATGTTTCTTCTGTGGGTCCACACCACAAATTGGGTGGGGACATGGTTAACATTCAGATTTTGATTTAACTGGTCTTTGGTGGGGCCTAAGTCCCTGAAATGTGAACCACTGGACACGACCATACCAGTGAGGCTGTAAGTCCTCTCCAGAACCCCACTGCAGTGTATGCACCAATAACCCTGCTTTCCAGGAGCTTCCACCTGGCTGAATACCACACTGCCTTGCTTGCTGTTACAAAGACCCAAGCATGGGGAATAAATTGATTTTGGCTTTTGTCGATATTGTGGTTTATAGTAATATATATATGTATATATATGTATATATCTTATTTATAATGAGATTAAGATTATGTCTATCTATATCTATAAGTATATATTTCTGGATTCTTAGGGTATATTCCTAGCAATGCAATCATTGGGTCAAAAGGAAGTTCCAGTGTTAGTTTTTTGAGGAAATTCCATACTGTTTTCCTGAGCGCTGCACCAGTCTGCATTACAACCAACAGTGTATGAGGATTCTCTTTTCTCCAGTCCTCACCAGCACTTGTTGTTAATTTATTAATGATAACCATTCCCTCAACTGTGAGGTAATATTTCATTGTGGTTTTAATTTGCATCTTGCTGATGGCTAGTGATGCAGAGCACTTTTTTCTGTCTCTGCGCCCTCTGTATGTCCTCCTTGGAGAAGTATCTGTTCAGGTCCTTTGCCCATTTTTTAATTGGATTGTTTGTCTTCCTGATGTGGAGTCATATGAGTTCTTATATATTTTGAAGATTAAACTGTTGTCTGATGTATCGTTGGCAAATATGTTATGTTCTCTTATACCATCAGTTCCCTTTTCATTTTGGTGATGGTTTCTTTAGCCCTGAAGAAGCTTTGTAATTTGATGTGGTTCCATTTGTTTTTTTTTCTTTATTTTTCTTGCCCTAGGAGATATATTGGCAAACATACCACTACATGGGATATCTGAAATTTTACGCCTGTGTTTTCCACTAGGACTTTAATGATATCATGACTTATAGTTAAGTCTTTTATCCATTTTGAGTTTATTTTGGTGTATGGGTATAAGTTGGTGGACTAGTTTCATTTATTTGCATGTACCATTCCAGGTGTCCCAACTCCATTTATTGAAGAGACTTACACCATTGAATGCTCATGCCCCCTTTGTCAAATAATAATTGACCATAGAGACATGGGTTTATTTCTGACCTCTCTATTCTGTTTTATTGATTGATGTGTCTGTTCTTATGCCAGTACCAGACTGCTTTGATTACAGTGGCTTTGTACTATTCTTTGGTATCAGGTATTGTGATCCCTCCAACTTTGTTCGTCTTTCTCAAGATTACTGAGGCTACTCAGGGTCTTTTTTGGTTCCATATAAATTTTTGAAATACTTGTTATATATGTGTGAAACATGCCATTGGTATTTTAATAGGGATTGCGTTGACTCTACAGATTGCTTTGGGTGGTATAGACATTTTAAT